GCTCTCACCCCAGCTGACGCCAAAGTTGCGTCAGGTGAAGTTCCACCGACCTCCAACGAGGTCAAACATATCCTCGTCAACACTTCTACTATTGAAGGCGTTGTGACTCTCTCGAAGAGAGCCCGCCAGAGGCGACGTCAACGCCTTGCACGTCAATTCGCCAAAGCGATGGAGTCCACGGACGGGGTCCGCTACAACGTGGATCTGAAGAATAGGAGAGGCAAACAGCCTCAACAACTGAAGAATGGCGGGTCCTCCAAGCCGCCGATGAACGAATGGATCCGGGTCAAACGGAACCGTTCGACACTCGAAGAGCGGATTCACAAACGCCGTGCATTACTTGCACAAGCAAGAATCCTCGTACAGATGGCCGAGGAATTGAAGAAAGGAAGAGTGGCCAAGAAGCCGCCATCAACACGCCAAGTGTGGAGGCCGAAGCAGCCTCCAACCAAAGTTCAACCTCCGGTGAATCAAACGAAGTCGCCGGCAATCCCAATAGCTTCTCCGGGAGATCATGCAGAATCATCCCGAAGGAAGAAGCCAATCTTGGAGCGCCTCGGTCCGATGCCCGACGAGAGAAGCAAAGCTCCTATTCAAGATCGTTTGAGCCCGATGAAAAAGCCCCGGACGACGCAGCATGCTGGGGGTCGCCATCACCTCCTACATAACAAAGAGACCAGGGCAGCTACGCGTACCAACTTGCGTATTGAAGTCCAGGAGCCCGCCGAGAACTCACGCCCAAAAGGCATGTTTCGAGGCGCGTGACTTTTGAAAGCCCGAAGAAGGCAGTTCCCCTCAGAAGGAAACATTATCGTCTGATGACGATAATGTTATACCTGAGAAGTCGTGCCAACACACGATAAGTTACTCCGATCGTCAAGCAGACGAGTTGTACTATCGTGCTGGGGGTACGAATAAAACCAGGAAAAGGAGTCCCCGAGAACAGGAAACTCAGTGCCCCTGTTCCAAACTTATTCGGGTAGTATTGTCTGAATGCAGCTGCATCAAGGCGGTCCCCGAACGAGTTTCGGTGTTTGAAAGGCTCAGTACCGAAACGCTAAAAACAAGGCCTAGGCGTTTCCGACGGAGAAGAACGGTGGATAAAGATGGAGAATTTCCGAGGGTCACCACCAACATGACCAGCAGAGGAACATCGACGCGAGATAATTTCGAGTCAATTCTGAAAGCATCCTGGCCTAGAACCCGTTTGCAGTCCGGAACCATCAAGCGAGCAACCTATGGTAGGGTTCGGACGAGACTCCCTTCAGAAGATGAAGAATCTGATGCCGGCTCCGCAGTCGCATCAGATAATACGGTATCCAGCGAGGGACAACCTCACGAAGTATTTATGATAAGTGCGGAGCAAGTGGCCAAAATGCTTGAAGACGTCTTAGCTAAGCAGCAGGAAACCTTCAGGTTCGAAATGCAGATGGCCATGTAAAACATGAGAAAAATGCATGACCAACAAATCCAAGCATTGACGAACCAGCAAGGCGAGCCAAGTCGTCGCAACCAAGTTCATCAGGAGGACGAGGACACAAATGAGGCTCGTAACACCAATAATCCTCCCGTCAATGCAGGGGGTGGTAACGAGAATGCCAATGCAGACTCAGGGGAAAACTTGAAGATTAAAAATCTCGAGAGCAAAATCAACATGTTGATTTCCACTCAAGAGATGAAGAAAACAGGCATTCCTTGTCCGTACCCAAGAGAGTGGGAATCAATCCCATATCCGGCGAAGTTCAACCTAATTAACTTCACGCCGTTTAATGAGATGGGTTCCCCCACTTAACATTTGATTTATTTTAAATCACACATGGGGGTAATCTCCGGCCATGAGCCTCTGATGGTGCGGTCATTCGTTGGCATTCTTCGCGGAGCCGCCTTCGATTGGTATCGTCGCCTCAAGCCAGGAAGCATAAATAGCTGGGACGACATGGAGACCAAATTTCTCGCCAACTTCTTCGATGACGACACAGAGGTATCCATCGGATCATTGCTGGACGAGAAACAGAAGGACGGAGAATTAGTCGACACCTTCGTCAAAAGGTTCTGGAATAAAGCGATGAACTGCCGAGACCCGATCACCGAGGAATTCATCCTCCAGACTTGCCACAACAACCTCGCATTGGACGTGTTGGAAGCAATGGGGACAGCACCGTCCAAGACATGGAAGGATCTAAAAGTCCGGGGGAGCAAGCAGAGCGATTCCTCAGGAGAAAGAAGGCGGAGAGAGGCCAACAGGCGACGAATGCTCCCGCACAGAATTTCAACCCGAGGGGGAAAGGTAAGGCACATGCTAATGCAGTTGATGCTAATCAAACCTTTCAATTGCA